TAAACTTAACCAAGGATGTGCAAGATTTCTACAATGAAAACTACCAAACATTAAAAAATGAAACAGAAAACACACACATAAAAAGGTGGAAAGATCTTTCATGTTTTTTGATTAGAAGAATATCATCAAAACGTCATTACTACCCAAAGCAATTTACAGATTCAATGTAATCCCAATCAAAATATCAAGGACATTCTTCTCAGATCTAGAAGAAATGATCTTAAGATTCATAAGGAAACACAAAAAACCTCAAATAGTCAAAGCAATTTTAAATAATAAAAACAAATCTGGAGGCATCACAGTATAATATTTCAAGAAACACTACAGGGTGGTTATAATCAATACATTCTGGTACTGGCACAGAAATAGACATGTGGACCAAAAGAACAGAATAGAAACCCCAGAAATTAATCCATCTACAATCAACTGATCACTGATACACAGCAAAAAAATCACTCCTTAGAGAAAGGGCAGTCTCTTCAATAAACAGTATTGGGAAAATTGTATCTCCACATTCAGAGGTATGAATCAAGACCCCTACATTATGCCTTATTTTAAAAAATCAACTTATGTTAGGTCAAAAATCTAAACCTAATGTCTTTTTTTTTTTTTTTTACTTTTTAGACTTTATTTCTCCTAGAATTGGAAGCCAGGGTCAGTCAAACCGTCCAGTCCGGAAGAGAGTTGTTCTCACCATGAAGGAGTGATGGCTGGGGCACCATGTCCCCAGGATAGAGGGCACTGGAGGGATGGATGGTTCTGGAACCCTTGGCCCCATGGAAAACATAGAGCAAAAATGTTCTCAGTAGGCTGGCGCTGCGGCTCACTAGGCTAATCCTCCGCCTGCAGCACCAGCACACCAGGTTCTAGTCCCGGTCGGGGTGCCGGATTCTGTCCCGGTTGCCCCTCTTCCAGGCCAGCTCTCTGCTGTGGCCTGAGAAGGCAGTGGAGGATGGCCCAAGTGCTTGGGCTCTGCACCTGCATGGGAGACCAGGAGAAGCACCTGGCTCCTGGCTTCTGATCAGCGCAGTGTGCCGGCCGCAGCGGCTATTGGAGGGTGAACCAATGGTAAAGGAAGACCTTTCTCTCTGTCTCTCTCTCTCACTGTCCACTCTGCCTGTCAAAAAAAAATGTTCTCATTGGACAGCAGGGCACGGGGGAGTGAGCAGATGAGCCCTGTTCGGTGGATGACGGGCTTCCTTTATTACTCTAAACTTTGGACAGCTCTATCCTCAGAGTGCAAATCCCTTATCCTGGCCCCCGTCTCTCTCATCCTCGCTCCAGCCTGCTTCACCCCCTTTGTCACCTCAGAAACTGCTCATTCCTCAAAGCACCTCGAAGCATTGCCTCCCCATGCCTCCCAGCATCCTGTGTGGCAGCCCTCCCGTGGGCTCCCCCACTGTTCCTGTTTATTTGCATCTGAGTGCTGGGACTCTCCTCAACCGCTCTGTCTCCCTGGAACCCCTCTGAATCCCATCCCACCCCTTCCATCAGCCTGGGACAGACTGGAAGGTGGATCCATGAGCAGGAGGATGATGGGGACTGACGGGGTGGGTTATTTGTCCTGCAAATCAACAGCAAGGAAAGAAAATAAATATGCAGAGAAAAATGAAAGAGCGACAGGGGGCCACTGAGGTGGTGACTGTGAAGTGGCATTTAGTTGCCTGCAAGTCTAAAACAACTAAGACACTTATTTAAAAAAAAAAAAAAAGATTGAACATAGAGAACCCAAGAACATTGAACATTGAACCCAAGAGCTTTGGGGAAAAAATGCACTTGTAGGGTTGGCTCCCATTAGCGAGAACCAACTCGGGCACCCAGGAGGCGTCTCAAATTCACTGTGACCCACAAATAACCGAGGTGGCCTCGCACCTGGCTGCTCCCCAGACGCTGTGGGCACCATGCCAGCTCTCGGGGAAGGCAGAGGCTCAGGAGCAGCAGCCCCTGCCCAGGGAGGCTCCAGCCCACGTTCAGCCTCTGTTCACGCCATTGCCCGCCACTCGGTCCCCAGCCCACAACCACAGAGCTGCCCTCTGCTGTCCCCTTCTGCTCCATCTCTCACGCCCTTCGCTGCCAGGCAGCCAGCAGCGCACACATGCAGGCCACGTGGGATCTCCTCTCTCCAGCTTGAAACCCTCCAGGGACTTCTGACACATGAGGAGTGGCCTCCAGCCTGGGCCTGGTGCACTCAGCTGGCCAGCCAGGATGGGGCAGGAGGCCGTGACTCACACCTGCCTGCCAGGCCAGGGCTCTGTAGACGCTCGAAGGACCAGGCGACAGAGCTGCGATGCAGGAAGTCTCTGTGGGGCAGCTCTGCTTGGCCAAGGCGACCACGCAGCTCCGGGCTTCCGTGTTTCCCTAAACCTAATGTCTTAAACCATCAAATTAATAGAGAAATACATAGGGGAAATGCTGCAAGACATTGGCATAGGCAAAGACTTCTTGGATAACACTCCAGAAATACAGAAAATGAAAGCTAAAATAGATAAATGGGATTATTTCAAGCCAAGAAGCTTCTGCACAAGAAAGGAAATATTCAGCAAAGCTAGATGCACCTGAGAGAATGGGAGAAAATATTTGCTAATTATGCATCTGATTAAGGATTAATATCTGGACTATATAAGGAACTCAAGAAACTTAACATCCACTAAGCAAACAATCCAGTTAAGATATGGGTAAAGAAGATGAACAGACATTTTTCAAAGGAGGAAATACAATGGCTAATAAAACACAAGAGAAAATGCTCAGGCTCACTAGCCATCAGGGAAATGCAGATAAAAACCACAAGGAGGTATCCCTTTACCCCAGTTAGAATGGCTATCATCAAAAAATCAAAAAATAACTAGTATTTCTGAAGATGTGGGAAAAAGTACCCTAATACACTACTGGTGAGAATGTAAACTGGTACAACCATTATGGAAGACAGTATGGAGATTCCTCAGAAACCTAAAAATAGATCTACAATATCATCCAACCATCCCACTTCTGGGAATACATCTAAAGAAACTGAAATCAGCATATGAAAGAGTTACCTGTACCCCCAAATTTTTAGAAGCTGAACTCACAATAGCTAAGATATAGAATCAACCTAAATATCCATCAACTGATTACGGGATAAAGACAATCTGACATTTATGTACAATAGAGCACTACTCAGCCATAGCAAAGAATAAAATCCCGTCCTTTGTAACAAAATGGTTGCAGCTGGAGACAGTGAAGCTTAGTGAAATAAGCCAGACACAAAAAGATAAACATCATATGTTTTCTCTCAATTGTTGTAGCTAATAAATAGAATATAAAAATTTATTGTATATGAGTGATATTGATATCTTGGGGTTTTATTACTGTTTCTGGCCTTTGTTTATATTCCTGTGAGCAGTGGTCTTTCTACGTTTTACTTGTTGAACTCTTTACTTAGTGCAGCATTAAGCCTTTGACTAGAATACAAATTAAAAATGTTATTACAAAAATTTAAAAAGAAAGAAAGGAAAGTATCACTATATAGTTAGTATTGTATTTATGAACTACATGAAATCTGTCCTCTTTGTGTTAATAAATTAACAAAATAAAATTTAAAAAACTTTTGATGACTTTTTTTTTGCAGAAATAGCACATTTATGATAGAGAGATCACTCTTTGCCCAAGACCACTACTCAAAATTAAACCTTTTCCCCTTATCAACTCTTTTTTTTTTTTTTTAATTTTTGACAGGCAGAGTGGACAGTGAGAGAGAGAGACAGAGAGAGAAAGGTCTTCCTTTGCCGTTGGTTCACCCTCCAATGGCTGCCGCTGCAGCCGGCGCACCGCGCTGATCCGATGGCAGGAGCCAGGATCCAGGTGCTTTTCCTGGTCTCCCATGGGGTGCAGGGCCCAAGCACCTGGGCCATCCTCCACTGCACTCCCTGGCCATAGCAGAGAGCTGGCCTGGAAGAGGGGCAACCGGGACAGAATCCGGCGCCCCGACCGGGACTAGAACCCGGTGTGCCGGCGCCGCAAGGTGGAGGATTAGCCTATTGAGCCATGGCGCCGGCTTATCCCCTTATCAACTCTTATCTCTGGTGAGTTGGCTGTCCAGTGGTGAGCAGGTAGAGCCTGATTTTTGTCTGGTAACAGAACCACCCTCCAAGGGTATACTCGTAAGTTCCTCAGGACCCCACTGGTCTTACCTCCTAAACACCATGACTAGGCCATGTTTCCATTCTTAGTCAATCAACCATTAATACTACCACATAGCTGCATGTGTTTTTGTGAGATGAATCTGACTTAACCCATAATATTCACATTGCTGAAGAGTCATCATCACCACCCATCCACAGAATTTATCATCTTGTAAAGCTGAAGTATCTGTATCCATTAAACAATAACTCCTTTTTCCCCTTCCCCCACCCTGTTCACCCCATTCTACTTTCTTTGTGAATTTTATTACTCTAAGTACCCATATAAGTGGAATCATACCATTTTTTCTTTGTTACTAACTTACTATATTTTCTTTGTCACTGACTTAGCATGAACCTCAAGTTTTAACAATACTGTAGTAGATGTCAGAATTTCCTTCCTTTTATGGCTGAATAATATTCCATTGTGCATTGCTGTGGGTTAAGCATATTCCCTAGTGTTTGTGTATTGGAACTTTAATTGCTCAATATGGTGGTGTTGGGAAATAGTGGCTCTAGTGGAAGATCATGGAGACAGAATCCTCACGGATGGATAAGTGCCTTTCTCACGTGAGTTCTTGTTCCATGGAACTGTATCATTCATCACAAGAGTGAGTATTATGAAGCAAGGCTATCTAACATCTGTGCCTCCTTCACCCACCCACTTTTGTTTCCCCAAGATTTATTTATTTATTTGAAAGTCAGAATTACACAGAGAGAGGAGAGGCAGAGAGAGAGAGAGAGGTCTTCCATCTGATGGTTCTCTCCCCAAATGGCCACGATGGCCGGAGCTGCGCCGATCCGAAGCCAGGAGCTAGGAGCTTCTTCCAGGTCTCCCATGTGGGTGTCAGGGGCCCAAGCACTTGGGCCATCTTCTACTGCTTTCCCAAGCCATAGCAGCTAGCTGGATTGGAAGCGGAGCAGCCAGGTCTTGAATTGGCACCCATATGGGATGCCAGTGCTCCAGGCCAGGGTGTTAACACACTGTGTCACAGTGCCAGCCTCACCCACCCACTTTCTGTCCACTTTCTGCCATGAGCTGAAGCAGCAAGAGGCCTGGCCAGAAGCTGAGCAGCTCTTGGACTTCATCACCTCCTCAGCCATGGGCCAAATAAACCTGTTTTTCCCATAAATGTTTTGGTCATAGGTATTCTGTTATACCAACAATAAATACACTAAGACCTATGTGTTTACTCTGTTTTGTTTATCCATTAATTTGTGAATGGATACTATTTTGGCTATTGTGAATAATGCTACTATGAGCATAGATATACAAACAATCATCTGACTCCTTGTTTTAATTTTAATAGAGACAGAAAACAGATTCTACCAGCACGTAGAGAGGGACAAGGGCTCCAAGGAAGAATAATGCAATCACTGGGATCACCAGACAAGGTACCATCAGCCAAATGTCTGCACCACAGTGCACCTGCCTGAGCACTCTATCAACTTCCATAGGTAAAACACGGCACTCTGGCTCTGACATCTGAGCAGCTCCTTGGTATTTCTATGCAAAAATGATGATTCTGGAAATCACTCCTGGAATGACTCGTAGATTTTCACCTTATTTGCATATTTATCCACCTGGCAACTCCTTCTGGGACCCCTCCAGGCACTGCCTGGAGCTTTCTCTTTCACCTTTGTTTTTTTAAAAATTTATTTTATTTATTTGAAAGGCCTAGTTATGGTGACAGAGGGGGAGACAGTGAGAGAGTTCGTCCATCACTGGTTCACTCCCCAAATGGCTGCAACGGCTGGGGCTGGACCAGACTGAAGCCAGGAGACAGGAGCTTCTTCTGGGTCTGCCACTTGGGTGCAGGGCCCAAGCACTTGAGTCATCTTCTGCTGCTTTTCCAGGCGCCTTAGCAAGGAACTGGATAGAAAGTGGCATAGCTGAAACTTGAACCGGCGCCCATATGGGATGATGGCGGCACTGCAGGCAGTGGCTTAACCCACTGTGCCATAGCTCTGGACACCTCTCTTTCACTTTTGATTTTTCTTTTGCTTAACAGACATTTCACATTTGTCACAATTCCTCATCTGTCTGCCTAAATCTTCATGGATACGAGACAAAGAACCTAGTGGAGAGAAAAGAGTTGCAACATAAAAAAGCTGTAACATTTATAAAAATTTGACAGCACAGAAAAATCTACAAAAATTTCTTCTGGATGTATTTTCCAACTTGGAATTGTAGAATCATATGATGATTTTATTTCTGACTTTTTAAGGAACTGCCAAAAGAGTTATAGTTCGTTTTTATTTATTTATTTATTTATTTGACAGATAGAGTTAGACAGTGAAGGAGAGAGACAGAGAGAAAGGCCTTCCTTCTGTTGGTTTACCCCCCAAATGGCTGCTACAGCCGGCGCTGCACCTATCCGAAGCCAGGAGCCAGGGGCTTCCTCCTGGTCTCCCACATGAGTGCAGGGCCCAAGCACCTGGGCCATCCTCCACTGCCTTCCCAGGGCACAGCAGAGAGCTGGACTGGAAGAGGAGCAACAGGGACTAGAAACCGGCCCCCATATGGGATGCTGGTGCCGCAGGCAGAGTATTAACCAAGTGAGCCACGGCGCCGGCTCCAAGAGTTATAGTTCTTATTGTTACCATTTATAATTATTATTATTATTGTCATCCTCTAGCTATCACCCCCCCCCCCAAAAAAAAAAAGAAAAGAAGAAAGCTGGAGCACAATTACATTTCATTGTAGGAATTTTGCAAAAAATTCTCATGGCTCCAAACTGCAGTTCATAATTCAGCTCTGCATTACTTTGGTGTTTCCTTTCAGATTCTAGACCTGTCTGGTTTCCTTTTGTCCTAAAATGGGATGCCTTTGCTTCCCAAAGAACAACAAGTAACCAGTTGTGACTAATTCCCACGGGGGTTTGGCTAAAATGATTCCAGCTGAAACTTCACGTTGGTCTTTGTCCTAAAGAGTTTCAGCTGGTGTCCTGCAACAGGGACCTCTTTTCCCCTAAGGCCACCCCTACTGCCACTACCACTGAGAAACTACTGTCTTTTGCTCTATTATGCAGAATAATTCAATGCCAATTATCCCAGAACTAGCCTGAGGCCTTCCTACTTGTAACTAAAGGCTAACTAATATTTTTCATAAATGAAAAAGCAATATTTCTCTTAATATGAACTCTGCAGCTTCCCTAGAATAAAGAAGCATTTGAGGTCAGATTAAGAAACATTATGTTGCCTCCTTCTAACTGCAAAATAAACTATTTGATTGTTTTGGTGATCTTTAAAATAATTTGGAGAAATGATTCAATATTTTATTCTGTCTTTTAGAAATAAATTCAGAGTATAGAATATATAATTGATCTGTTCCAGAAAATGCAGCAAATCTACCACCAAATCAGAGTAAGGTAATACTTACATGGTCCATAGGCTAACATTTATTTGAATTTTCAGATTAAAAAATATTTAAGTTCTGTTTCTCTATTTCAGTAAAAAAAAATATAAATAAAGCACAATAATGCAATCTGTTTTTCTTCTTGTATGTAATTCAGGGTAAAATTACAAGTAAAATATCTGAGGAAGTAAAAATGATTCCTTATACACAGAGTACTTCATTGCTATTACTATTCAATTACAACTAATGGAATAATAATATTTAATTAATACTCTTTAGTACATTATTTATACTTGGTAAAATACAGTATCCACCACTTTAATAAAAGAATGCTTTCCCTTTCACTTTTTTGCAAAAGATGACAGTATTTATAATGTACTGGTATTCATTTGGACACATTATGATCAACTGACTTTCTTCACACGTATTTTCATATGACCTTCTCTTGAGTATTTAGATGAATAATTTTAATTTTTGGTACTGCTCAAAAGCAATCAAAACACAATGTATTTTAAATACGCATTTTAATGAGATTTGCTTTAATAACTTATTCAATGTGAAATGAGTCTACATTTAATTCAGTTAGATAAATAGAAAATGTTTCAAAAAGATGTATTTATTCATTTGAAAGAAATACACAGAGAAAAGAGAGAAGAGGAGAAAGAGAGAGGGAGAGATGGAGAGATCTTCCATCCGCTCCCCTACTTCCCAGATGGTAGCAATGGCCAGGGTTGGGCCAGGCCAAAGCCAGGATCCAGAAGCCTCATCCCATGTGGGTAGTAGGGGACCAAGCATTTGAGTCATCCTCCACTGCTTTTCCCAGGCCAGTACTAGGGAGCTGGAACTTGAACTAGGACCCATATGGGATGCTGGTATTGCAAATTGCACCTTTATCCACAGTACCACAATGCCGCCGACCTCAATAGAAAGTAATTACTTGGATATCTGCACTAGAGAGGATAGTCAAGTACAGAAAAATCATTCTGGGTCTGGCATTGTGGCACAGCGGATTAAAGACATAGCTTGTGATGCCAGCATCTCATATGGGTGCCAGTTCTAGCCCCAGCTGCTTCTCTTCAGATTCAGCTCTCTCCTATGGCCTGGGAAAGCAAAAGATGGCCCAAGTCCTTGGGCCCTGCACCTGCATGGGAGAACTGGAAGAAACTCCTGGCTCCTGGCTTCAAATCAGCGCAGCTCTGGCCATTGTGGCCATCTGGGGAGTGAACCACTGGATGCAAGACCTCTCTCTATGTCTCTACCTCTCTCTGTAACTATCTTTCAAATAAATAAAACAAATCTTTAAAAAAATCATACCTAACCTAACTTACCTAAATGGAAATTTCATGTTGTTCTTTGAAGAATCAGACTGGATGAGACAGGGCTTATGAGGGGGCTTTACAATGCTGTAGAAAATGCATGTTATCTTTTTATTTCATTACTTCACAAAGTTTTTCAACCTGCCAGTATTATGAGGTGAGATGAAACAAACCAGTTCAAATCTTTGCCTTTTGTCCTGAGAAATTCTTGGCCTTCCCTAACCAATGGCTCTTATTGAATTGTTGATATTTGCAGTAGACTGTAAGTAGTCTCATTGGTGTCATATTCAAAACTGCATAAGTAAGCCTATGCAAGTAAGATATAGCTTACTTCAAAGTTACATATCTAATGGGAAAAATAATGCATTCCTTATTTTTTCTCCTAGCAGGGAGCTGCAACTCCCTGCAGGGCCTAAAAGAGAGATCTAACATGATTATTCAGGTTTAAATGTAGCAGAAACCTGCACATTCAACTATACCACTTGACAGCTAAAAGAGGTAAGAACACAACTGAACTTCTTAGTGTGTTAGACCCTCTGAGTGAGGATGCTAACACATCGAGAGGCACACCCCAGACTCAGAGTCCAGACCGGCTGATGCAAAAGCAAGAGGATTTATTCAGCGTCTGGGCAGATGGGCCTCCTGAACTCGGGAGTCCAGAGAGCGCGCCCAGCACAGAGCCACACGGTTTATATACCCGCAGCGACCAATCTGTGAGCTGATCATGTGAAAGGCATGCATCCTCTATCCAATCAGTGAGCTGATCATGTGAAAGGCATGCATCCTCTATCCAATCAGTGAGCTGATCATGTGAAAGGCATGTGTCCTCTATCCAATCAGTGAGCTGATCATGTGAAAGGCATGTGTCCTCTATCCAATCAGTGAGCTGATCATGTGAAAGGCATGTGTCCTCTATCCAATCAGTGAGCTGATCATGTGAAAGGCATGTGTCCTCTATCCAATCAGTGAGCTGATCATGTGAAAGGCATGCGTCCTCTATCCAATCAGCTACGGGATCACATGGGAGGCATGCCCCTCATCGCCATTTTGTTGTTTACTTCTTCAGCAGTTCCTTTCCCTGCCAGAGCCATCTTGTTCACCCTGAGGGGGATGACATCTCTCTCCCTTCGTTACCCTGGAGGGAGAGCAGCGTCTCGCTTCCCACACCGTTATCTGAGTATTAGGAGGCATACAAAATGGGTTAGGTCTTAGCACAGCCAGGCGCAAGTGTCTCAGCTAGCTAAGCATAGGGTCCCTTATTTTTATAGCTGCACCTAATTTTAGCTCTGGGGAAAAAGTTTAGGGCTATAATTTTAAAACTTTAATTTTATTTGGGGCAAAGGTGACTTCTTGTTTTTAATAGCGTTAGCTTAAGTCACTCCATCTCGGTTTGATTTTAAGGTTCTTCAAGTGGAGTTCTCAACTCTTTCTGCTCTGTAATAGATTTCTGCAGTAATACTGAATCAGATGATTTGATTGTGATTTAACTACTTCCTTGAAGAAGCTGGAAAGTTTTCAGCACACACACATGCACACACACACACAAAGGAATAAGAACATGCATATATCATGGAGCAACTAAACGTAAATTCAGGGGCCGGCGCCTTGGTGCAGTAGGTTCAAGTCCCGGCTGCTCCTCTTCTGATCCAGCTCTCTGCTATGGTCTGGGAAAGCAGTGGAAGATGGCCAAGTTCTTGGGCCCCTGCACCCACATGGGAGACTGGAAAGAAGCACCTGGCTCCTGGTTTCAGATCAGCATAGCTCTGGCCAACTGGGGAGTGAACCAACAGAAGGAAGAACTTTCTCTCTGTCTCTTCCTCTCACTGTCTATAACTCTACCTCTCAAATAAATAAATAAGTAAAATCTTTAAAAAATTTAAATTCAGGGGCCAGTGCCGTGGTGCAGTAGGTTAATCCTCCACCTGCGGTGCCGGCATCCCATATGGGCGCCAGATTCTGTCCTGGTTGTCCCTCTTCCAGTCCAGCTCTCTGCTGTGGCCTGGGAAGGCAGTGGAGGATGGCCCAAGTGCGTGGGCCCTGCACCCCATGGGAGACCAGGAGGAAGCACCTGGCTCCTGGCTTCGGATTGGCACAGCGCACCGGCTGTGGTGGCCGTTTGGGGGGTGTACCAATGGAAGGAAGACCTTTCTCTCTGTATCTCTCTCTCTCACTGTCTAACTCTGCCTGTCAAATAAAAAAAAAAATTAAAAATAAATAAATAAATTTAAAAAATTAAATTCAGACTACAGTACTGGTGTAGATTTTTCTTTCCATCTAATTTTCAGAAATGTTGCAGCTCTTTTGAGTTACAATTTTTTCTCTCTACTGGTTCTTTGTCTCGTGTCTATGAAGATTTAGGGTCATGGACAAAGAAATGTGAGTAATGCTAAGAAAATTTATTAAG